ATCGGCCTGACCAACATGGCAAAACCCCATCTCTACTAAAAATACAAAATTAGTCAGGCATGGTGGCAGGTGCCTGTAATCCCAGCTACTTGGGAGGCTGGGGCTGGAGAATCGCTTGAACCCAGGAGGCAGAGGTTGCAGCGAGCCGGGATCATGCCACTGCACTCCAGCCAGGGCAACAGAGTGAGACTCCATTTCAAAAAAGAAAAAGAAAAAAGAAAAAAAGAAAAATAAATACAGAATTGCCACTGACCCCACAGTAAGTACAGATGTCTGAGAAGCAGGTGCTGTTACACAAAATATAAATACTGTGCAGAAACCTATAATTTAAGTTGGTAACAAAAGATCTTTCAAGCACATTTTTTTCCTATACTCCTCTCTCATCTTCCCCGCATATCCTCTGAAAAGACGCAATACCTAAATTGGAATGTGCTATTATTAAAGTCATTCTAAAAACAGTATGAATGACTAATAAGTCAACTGTATATACCCCTCAACGAAGACTTCTGCAACCCCTTTCTAGACTTCTAGAAAGGACTTGAAATCTAAGAATACATGGAAGGAGATTCTTCTGCTGCCTGAAGGCTGTGAAAGATTACATAGAAGTAAAATCTGTTGAGTAAAAACTGTCAAGCAACTACTTGTTTGGGGAATTACAGTTTACATTTAGTTACAATGTTTATAATGTTTGATTCAATAAATATTTAGGAGTCTACTTTGTGCCTTACTATGAAGAAAATAAAAAGCTACCATCTATTCTAAAAATGAGGCAACTAACTTGTCCAAGGTCATAAGGTGGTCTGGTCCAAGTTCTAAGTCATCTGCTATTCAAATTATAGAGCTTAGAGAGTGACTGAGTTACCTTAGACCTGGTGGATAAGGGGATAAAGAAGATGCCACAGTCAGTCACTACCATCTCTAGTTTCTAGTTTAGGATATGGATATCTCAAAATAATGTTCTATATTAATTGTCTCCAATTCTTCCCTTTCACTCTCTCCTGAACCCAATCTATCCAGACTATTGATCTCACCACTGCACTGAAACAGTTCTTACTGAGGTAGCCTGTGACCTCCATACGGTTAATTCCAACAGTGAAATCTCAGAGCTCATCTTATTTGAATCATCATTATCATTTAACCCAGCTGATCTCTTTCTCTTTGAAACACTTTTTTCACTTGACTTGAGAGAACCTTGTCTTGGTTCGCCTCCTACCTTACTGGTCATTCCTGCCCTATATCCTTTGTTGATTCCCCTCCATCTCCCTGACTTCTTTTTTTTTTTTTTTTGAGATGGAGTCTCGCTCTGTCACCCAAACTGGAGTGCAGTGGCACGATCTTGGCTCACTGCAAACTCCGACTCCTGGGTTCAACCAATTCTCTACCTCAGCCTCCCGAGTAGCTGGGATTATAGGCGCCTGCCACCACGCCCAGCTAATTTTTATCTTTTTAGTAGAAACAGGGTTTCACCACATTGACCAGGCTGGTGTTGAACTCCTGACCTCGTGATCCACCCGCCTCAGCCTCCCAAAGTGCTGGGATTACAGGCATGAGCCACCGCACCCAGCTCCTTGACTCTTAAAGTCTGGAATCCCCAAGGCTTAGCTCCCAGATCTCTTCTCTTCTCTTTTACATTCATTCCCTTGGTGAACTCATCCAGTTTTGTCGCTTCAAGTTACTAAGTGCCTCAGGTTTCTAAATTCCTATCTTCGGCCCAAACCTTTCTTCTTGTAACTCTACACCTGAATAACCAATTGCCTACATACCAGCTCAACTTCAATGTTTAATAGACACCCCAAATTTAGCACATCCAAAAACTAAATTCCTGATGTTCTCCAAACCAGGCTCCTAGTCCAGGTTTCTCCGTCTCAATAAATGGCAATTGCACCCTTCCAGTTACTGAAGCCAAAATCTTTAGAATTATCTTCAATTTCTCTTTTTCTCTCACCTACCATATTCAAGCCATCAGTAAAATTCTGTTCACTCCATGTTGAAATTAAATCCAGAATCTGACCACTTTGCACCACCTCCACTGCTACCACCCAGGTCCAATCTATACCACAATTATCCTTCTAAGTAACTAATACCTCACAGACTATACTCAGCACACTAAAGAGATCATTTTGAAATTCAAGTCAAATCATGTATCTTTTCTGTTCAAACACGGCCTCCCCCAACTTACTTATAAGTAAAAGCCGAAGTCCTTACAATGGCCTACAAAGTCCTACATGGTCTTCCCTTACCACCTATGACTCAGATCTCCTATTACTGTTCTTGATCACTCTGCTCTGGCCATACTGCCTGCCTTGCTATTCCTCAAATACTAAGCAAGCTCCCGCCTCCTGGCTTTTGTGCTTATTAGAATGCCCTTCCACTATGCTATGGTCTGAATGCTTTTGTCCCTCAAAATTCATATGTTGAAATCTAATCCCCAATGTGACAGTAATACAAGGTGGGGCCTCTGTAAGGTGATTATATCATGAAGGTGGAGTCCTAATGGATGAGATTAGTTTCCTTATAAAAGAAGCCCCAGAGAGTTGCCTGTCCCTACCACCATGTGAGGACACAGCAACAAGGTGCTATCTATGAACCAGAAGGCCCTCACCAGACACAGAATCTGCCAGTGCCTTAATCTTGGATTTTCCAGCCTTAATCTTGGATTTTCTAGCCTCCAGAATTGTGAGAAATCAAGTTCTGCTGTTGAAAAGCTGTCCAGTTTATGGCATTTTGCTATGACAGCCCAAATGGCCTACAACACAATTACCCACATGGCTTACTCCCTAACTTCTCTCAGAGGCCTTCTATGACCATATAACATTTATATTGATTTACTTGGTTGTTTACTGTCTGTTTCTCCCTACTGAACTATAAGGTTAGGGGTTTTGTTTTATATAAAGGCCAACTCCCAATGCTTAAAATCCAATAGGCACCAAATACATCTCTTGCTTGAACAAGAAGAGATTAGTGCATAGAGCCAGGTCACCACTTTCAGTAGCCTACCTACTTTGTTCTGGTCCCTCATGTTTGGCTAGTCACCAAATGGTTCTGGCTTGAAAATTACACATGAAAGACCTTGGACAGGTTGCGTTTGTTTCCACCAAATTTCTGGTCCCTGAAAGTCATCTAACAAAGTTAAGATTCAATGTAAAGAAAAAAACTTGTTCCATTCAGTTTCTCTGCTTGGACAGAAAAAAATTCCTCCTGCATTCTTTCCAATTTCAATACAGCTGTATAGAGAAACACAGGTTAAAAACAATAAAATAATCTTCTTTTCAGATTCTACCTTGACAAAGAATCTTCTTGATTATCCATGCTTCTTTATTTTCTCATCTTTGCCCAGAAAGTCAAGTGCTCTGGATGTTCACACTGCCTAACTAACTATGCAAATCAAGTTACATGAAATTATAAACGAAAATTCTATGAGAGTTCACATGCAAAGCTAGATTACATAATCTACATTTCAAACTGCTATTAAATTTCTGCTCTCTTAAAGGCACTTAATTTTTCATGAATAACTGGATCTTCAAGATTTTTGGATAGGTTATGTTTAAGATTCTCTTTACCTAAAGAAAGTAATCAATGATGATAAATTCTAATTATTCCCAGTATTAAAGAAATTCTTAAAAGTCATCAAAATTAGTATTTCACTAATTATTTTTACACATACTCCATCATCATTTGCTTTGAAAATGAGATATATAGTGTCTCTATGAGGAGGGACGGGCACCAGGTAACAGATCACAAATACAGTTATTACAAAGTTGCTTGCACATATGAATCTGAAGTGTGACATGCCTATACTTTATAACTCTTACATAAATAAAAAACTGTTAGACTCATGGTACCCTGGCAGCCTAGTAAGTTTATATTCAGTGATGGAATGAAAATGCAATGTTTGAAAATTAAAATTCAGTAAAAGTTGAATAGTTCACCCACATTTATGATAACCTATGGGGGAGGGGGATGTGCATTTCATATCTAGTCACGTGAAGTGTGCCTTGAATGACAACTATTGTAAACATTAATTTTTTACTCCCATAACCATTCAAAGCATTGTACGAAGGGCTCAATCAGATAAGTGTGAAATATACATTTTTCACCCTGTAAGCCTGAAATCAGCGAAATGTTATCTTCTCCTTTGCGCGAGGCTTCAGGTAGAGACTGGATATCTACCCTCACTCAACCACCCTCAATGGTAGAACTAAAAAGCAACAGAAGGGTTTTACAAGTTAATGTCTCAAGCTAAAAAAGAAAACAAAATGAAACAAAAGGAAAAGGGGGAAAAAAAAACCCATTCCTACATAACTGGTTGGGGGCTTCTCTTCCAATCGCACTCCAAGTCCTCTGCTGCCCAAAAAACTTAACACCTCCAACCTGGTAGAGGCTTCAAATTCCTCCAGATTTCTAAACTGCGAAAGAAACATCTATCTAACAGGCTAAAAACGATGTCCAAGTACGAGGTAAGAAAAACTTCTGCAACACAGACACTGGCCACAGTGCATTCCTACTTTCCCAGAAGGGAAGAGGAGGGGAGGCAGCTGAAATAAGAGTAAGAATGAGGGTAAGTCTCGGTGGAAGATGACAGTTTAGAGAAGCGGCTGCTCTTTCTCACATTCAGGGGGACAGGAAGGCAAACGGTAGGTGTTAAATTTAAAAAAAAAAAAGTCTACCCACACCACTCTTCCTTCTTCCTCCAGCACAGCTGGAGGGGGAAGGCTCTTCCCCAGAACGCCGGACCAGAGAGACGGCATTGCTACCCCAGGCAAGTGGCGTCGTCCAGCCTGTCACTGGGGCTGGGACTAGAAAAGTTGAAGCAGGAGTAAGGATCTGGGGAAGACGGACACGTCCTTCCGAGGCTGAGGACCCCGGTGGCCCGGGCTGAGGGCAGCCAGAGCCCGGGGTGACCGAGCCCTGCCCTCCGTGTCCGACTCTCTGAGGAACCGGGGTCGCCTGCCGCCTGCCCCGGCCCCTCTCCGCCCGGCCCCGCGCGCCTCCTTGCTTACCTGCTGCACTCCGAGGAACTGGTAGAAGTTGAGCTGCACCTCCTCCACCAAGTCAAACAACTCCAGGTCTCCGCTCTCCCAGCCGCGCGCCGGCGCCACGGCGGCCAGCAGCAGCAGCAGCACCAGCGGCCACAGCAGCGGCGTCCGCGGCTGCGGCGGCGGGAAAGGCATTAGCCCGAGCTGGCGGCGCCCAGGAAGCTGTGCCGGCCAGGAGCACAGAGCCGTCATCGCACTGGGCTCGGAAAGGTCACCCGACGCACACCTCCGTTGGCCGAGAGCTGGGACGTGGCGGGCGGCACTGGCTGTGGGAAACAGTGCCCGTCAGTGAAAAGCGCGGGCAGGCGCACCGGAACGGCCTGCCAGGCGGCTGGTCCCAGATTGAGCGCGGTGGTGGCGGGAGCCCGCGGCCGGACCAGCGGCTGGGCGGGCGGGCGGGGCCGCAGTCGGCGCTACGTTCCGCGGACCCTGGCCCCCAGGCCTACACACAGCTGGAGAGCCAGCGCCCGGCGCCTGGGCTGCACAGGGGGAGAGGCTTCCCTTTGCCTCAGCCTATCCCAGGCCTCGCTTCCGGTGACATCACGTCTCCTAGCAACCGCGGGGAAGGGGGCGTGGCCGGAAGCCTGGACGCCTGGCGCCCCGATCTGGGCCTAGGTGAAATGCCTTTCAATCGGTTGGGCGCGTCGAGGAGCTGAATCTGCGCCAAAACGGGCTGAGAGACAGGGAAGGTTATAGCCATCACGCGTCTACCTGGAACGCCCCTCGTGGACTTCCCCCGAAATAGCTACTGTCTTCCCCTCCCCCAGCTATCGAACACTAAAAGCATATTTGAAGCCTGATTAATTGATTATGGCTTCCGTGCATTTAATTAGTCCTTCAGCAAAGAAGACAGGACAAGTTGAACCAGGTTCTAAAAGGGGCAAATCTAGTAAGTAGAGAGAGGTAGAGCAGAAAAGGAATTCAAACCAAAACAATTATGAATTAAGATTTACAGGTATAATACCATAAAATGGCCTGGTAGAATTAATAGTTAATAATGGTGACTCAATCATAGTTGGAGGAGGAATGGAGTTTATCCATCTTTGGAGGAGGAATGGAGTTTATCCATCTTAGCCCACCTCCAGTTGGGGTTCTTTTGAAAATAGACCTCAGTTGAGATGTTTCCGTTTTAAAAGACAGGCTAAAAACCTTCTCTCTCTTCCGTAACAATGCCTCACTTCCTAGTCTTGCATTGCTTCTGTTCAATCTCTTTTCAAGTTATTTTCTCCACCTCGATTCTCTTGTGTGAACTTTATTTTCCTTTTGGCTTTCTCACATTTCTCTTCCCTGAACTCTCCACTCTTGTTGAGGAAGAAGGAAGCAAAAAATGCTACTAAAACTCAGAAAGTTAGCTCAATTTTGAAAGTTTGACCTCATGCTCTTTCCATCTTGGATCTAGTTAGTTAAATCAAGCTCCATAGCGTAATGATAAAGCTACTTCCCTCTCATAGTCAGAATATACTATGTTGGATAAAGGTTAGAAAAACACTAGGAAGCAAATCTTACTGAGAAAATCCTAGTATGGAGTGTTAAAAATATTTTTAAATAAAATCAATAAATGCAAATCTTGGTATGGAGTTTTAGAAATATTTTTGAATGAATTCATAAATGAATGCAAGTCTATCTTGCTTAAAAATAATAGGTATGCTTGAATTACTCACATTTTAATCTATCATGAGGGCTGCTATAACAAAATACTTTAGACTGGGTGACTTAAACAACAGATACTTATTTCTCACAGTTTTGGAGGTTCAGAAGTCCAGGGTCAGGGTGCCAGCATGGTTGGGTGCTGATGAAGCCTTCTTCCTGGTTTGCAGATGGCTGTCTTCTTGGTGTATCCTCAGGTGGCCAGGGAAGAAGGGGTGATGGATGGATGGATAGATAAATAAGAGTTCTCCGCCAGGCCTGGTGGCTCACACCTGTAATCCCAGAACTTTGAGAGGCCGAGGCAGGCAGATCACTTGAGGCCAGGAGTTTGAGACCAGCCTTATCAATATGATGAAACCCCATCTCTACTAAAAATACAAAAAGTACCCGGGGGTAGCTCACGCCTGTAGTCCCAGCTACTCGGGAGGCTGAGGCAGGAGAATCGCTTGAAACCGGGAGGCAGATGTTGCAGTGAGTAGGGATCTCACACCACTGCACTCTAGCCTCAGTGACAGAGTGAGACTCTGTCTCAAAAAAAAAAAAAAATTCTCATGGTCTCTTCTTATATGCACTAATCTCAATTATGGGGCTTCAGCTCCATAAGCCTCATCTGAACCTAGATTATCTCCCATAAAGGCTCAGCCTCCGAAATATCATCCACACTGGCGGGATTAGAACTGTCCAACACATGAATTTGTGTAAGATCAAAACTTAAGTCTCCAGCCAGCAGCATTGCCATTTTCTGGGTATTCCCCAGTGCTTTAGCACGGCATAGCACTGAGAGGCCTTAACTAGTTGAATTGATCTGCTGGACTACCCCCTTCCCTACCACATTCCCCCTACCCACAGATTTTTGTTTATTTATTTGAGACGGAGTTTACTCTTGTTGCCCCGGCGAATGACGCCATCTCGGCTCACTGCAATCTCTGCCTCCCACGTGGTTCCAGGCGATCCTGCCTCAGCCTCCCGAGTCAGCTGGATTCGAGACTCCTGCCCACCATGCCTGGCTAATTGTTTGTATTTTTGTACGAGATAGGATTTTACATGTTGCAGATAGTCTCAACCCTGACCTCCATGATGTGATCACCCGCACTCGGCCTCCCAAAGTGCTGGATTACGGCGATGAGCACCACCCCCAGCCAAGTTTATTTTTGGTATATCAGTTTTCTTAAAGTGAATGTCATCTTTACCAGTCCCTAATTAGGTTACTGTTTACTTCATGAGTAAAACATCAAAGTAGATGAAATTAATTATCTTAAGCATTTCTTTTACAATATTTTGTAACATTCATCTTTCTCCTAATTTGATCATTAGATTAAGTGCAATAACATTTGAAACTGGTGCCATGTTGCCAAAATCTAGGATTCTTACCTGATCTTTAGCAGGCAGTCTAGTATTTCCCCTCTTGAGGGTTTACCTTTATGTTGTCTGGAAACTCCGGAGGCTTACTGCATTAAAGGAGAGCCCATCCTCTTTCCAAGGCCAAGCTGAAACAGAATTGGAGTCTATTAATAATCTTCTCATGGACATAAGGTAATTACTGGCCAGCTCCAATGACACTTGTCCACCCTGAGATGATCTTCTTGCTTTCTTCTAAGGCCAAGCTGAAACAGAATGGGTCTATTAATAATACTTCTCATGGACATAAGGTATTACTGCCCAGCTCCAATGACACTTGTCCACCTGAGATGATCTTCTTGCTTCTTTCTAAGGCCAAGCTGAAACAGAATTGGGGTCTATTAATAATACTTCTCATGGACATAAGGTATTACTGCCCAGCTCCAATGACACTTGTCCACTGAGATGATCTTTCTTGCTTCTTTCTAAGGCCAAGCTGACAGAATTGGAGTCTATTAATAATACTTCTCATGGACATAAGGTATTACTGCCCAGCTCCAATGACACTTGTCCACCCTGAGATGATCTTCTTGCTTGCCCAGGTTCCTGCAAAGACCACAGTGATGTTCATATTTAGACTTCTAGCCTGGCCTCTTTACCTATTCAGTCATTGTCCCAAAAATTACAGTGCAATTAAATAAATCTTTTGCTGAGCTCTGAACTAAGTGAGTGACAATATCCACTGTTTTCTTCCCTGGTGACATGTACTAATTCTGAGCATAGACTCATCCAGCTTGGCCTGGGCAGAGTGAGTTTACACAGAAAAAGAGAAACAAGTGAGATGTTTAACCATTATGTGAGTTGTGTAATGGATTGGAAATATAGAGGAGCCCCAAACATACAGCCAGTTTTCCCACAGGACATTTGCTGAGTTCTGGGGTGGTGCAGGAGGCTGAGCAGCTGAGCGTGATAGGAAGAGTAAAATTATCCCATGTTCTAGGGCATAGAAAGCTAATTCTGCTTAGAAGGAGCCTGCCTCAAATACACAAGCACTCTCCTGCTTCAAGACATTTACACTATTTTTGAAGTTGTATGAGAAGGAGGCTAAAGATCTAAGTTTAAAACCTCTCAAAGGCAGGACTGAATCTCCAGAGCAGAGGAGGCAGGAGCCGTCCAGGCTCTTGATCAAAATCCCAGAGGGATCACACATGAAGAACAGAGAAAAACCACAAGTGGCCTGTTGTTCTGAAACCGCACCCCAATCCCAACCCAGCTCATCCTTGATTAGACAGAGGCAATCAGAACATCACCCTATTTGTTTGTGTTTATCCCTAGAAGAGAATAACATCATCTATATTGTCTATAGATCTTTAATATAAAAGTCTAACATTTGTAAAAAAAAAAAAAAATTATGAGGTGTGAGAAGAGCAGGAAAATTTGACCAATAATCAAGAAAAAAAATAAATAATAGAAGATCCACAGATAAGCCAGATATTGAAGTTTAGATAAGAACTTTAAAATAACTATTATTAAATAAAGCCATAGATTATAAAATAGAAGAAAACATGAACAAGATGGATTAAAATGTGCAGAATTTTAAAAGTATTGAAATCTATAAAAAAGAATCAATGGAAAATATTGAACTGACAAATGTAATTTCTGAAAGGAATATTTCAATGGATCGGTTTAATAGCAACCTGGACACAGCAGAACAGAGGGTTAGTGAATTTGGAGACTGGGCAAGAAAAAAATACCTAAACTCAAGCACAGAGAGAAAAACAAATGGAAAGAATAGAACAGAGCTTAATAGGCATGTGCACAGTGGTGTACTGGAGTCCTAGAAAAAGAGGAGAGAGAGAATGAGGCAGAAGCAATATTTGAAGATATAATAGCCAAGAATTTACAAAAGTAATGAAAGACGTAAAACCACAGATGAAAAAAATAACTCAAAATGAATCCTAGACCTAAATGTATGAGTTAATGCTACCAAACTCTTGTAAGAAAAAAACAGGAGTAAATCTTAGTGACCTTGGGTTAGCCAATGGTTCATTATACATATAGAAACATAAATGACAAAAGAAAAAAAATAAATTGGACTGCATAGAAATTAAAAGCTTTTATACTGCAAATAATATTATCAGCAAAGTAAAAAGACAAGAGAATAGGAGACAATATTTGTAAATCACATACTTCATAAGGGACTTAGATCCAGAATTTGTAAAAGATTCTTACAACTCAACAACTAAAACAACTCCCCTTTATTTGTTAATGAGCAAATGAGTTGAATAGACATTTCTTCAAAAATATGGAAATGACCAATAATCACATGAAAAGATGCTCAACATCTGTAGTCATCAGGGAAATGCAAATCAAAACTACAATGACATGCTACTGCTCACAGAGTAGGATGGCTATAATCAAAAAGATAGACAATAAAAAGTGTTGAACATGTGGAGAAATTGGAAGTCTCTCACATTACTGCTGGAACTCAAAATGATGGAGCCCCTTAGGAAAACAATTGGCAGTTTCTCCAAAA